TCAGCAATAAGAAAAGACAGGTTCTACGTTCACTTGTCTAATTCCACCGCTAAATCCGGCGCCGGTTCGCAGTGTTGTGAATGCTAATCCGTTCCTTTCATAAGAACATAAATTGCGCGGGTGAAACATGCTCCCCGACCATCCTCCAAATACACCAATTGACATTTTAAAGCGCGCAAAGATGCTTATTTCAACAACGTTGCCGTTTTCATCCTCTCACCGGCTTACTACGCCTGCTGTCAACAAAAGACTGGCGCCGCCCGGCACACGGAGACTGCAACGCCGGGGATCGAGGTTTTTGTTCTGAGGCTCGAACGCTCGCGTGGTTCAGGCTATGTTATGTAATTATTCCGCCACTCGGTTCTGAACAAAGGCTGAACCCTCCGAGACGAACATGGTCACTGAGGAGTTAGCTCAACTAGCAACGCTTTTACAATCAACTTGCCTTGCGCGCGCCACTGACATTATGGTCGTCTTATCTGCCGTAGATTCGAACTGAAGCGGGCGGTTCCGAAGGGCCTTTCGAGCCCCGCGTGACCTAGGATTAAGGGCCCGATTTGAGGGCCCGAAAGGTCCAAAAGGCCAACTGGAGGTCGAATTCAGGGATCCTGGTCCGCTGTGCATGGCCAGCGATTTACACTGGTCGGGGATTGTGCATCTGTCAGGGGCCCACAGCGCCTAACAGAGGATGCTGTGTTCGCAAAGAGCCCTAAGCTGACCAAGGACAGTGTTCAATGAGGCCAGAAGAGGGGCCCGGGCGGCCCACGGAAACCGACGATTAAGGGCCCCGTTGGAGGGCATAAGGTTCTGAAGGCTTGGCTGTACGTCACATGAAGTATTGCAGCTGTTCAGTGCCGTGACCTTAAACGTCAGTCAGAAGACTTCTATCAGGGGCCCCCTTATTAGGATTATCCATCCCTGGCATACAGGGCCTCGACACGGAGCCGAACAGTCGACTCCGTGTCCGTCGGAGCCTTTTGGACCATTTCCCAATCAGGAACGGGACCGGGGTCCGTGGTGGGCAATGTTCGGGGTCCTTGACACAGTGAGAGACTCCTGTGTTGGTCAGGGGCCACAGTGCCTAACAGGGTCCTGTGGTAGCAAGCGGCCCCGAGTCGGCCAGGAGCGGTGTTTGAGAGGACCCGAACAGGGGCCGAAGGGTCTCTCGAGACCAAAGATCAAGTGCTTTATTAGATGACTGCAGAGCCCGAAAGGCTGGCTGTAGGCCACATTAAGGATCACCACCCGTAATGCCGTGATCTGAAACGTCAGTTACAGGGCCTCTTGCACCGATTGAGGACCGCTTAGACAGAGTGTTCTTCTATTTCGGCGAGAGATCACCAACACCGAACAATCAGCTCCCTGTCGATCTGAGTTCTGGGGGCCCACAGTACCTAACGGGGAGTTCTGCGTCAATCAGGGGTCCGAGTCGGTCCCGGAAACATTTGCTCAATGTGGACGAAGACGAAGCCCCGAATGGCGGAAGGCCTCTTGCGTTGGTCGGGTCCTCTGACAGTGAAAGAAAGCCTGAGAACTTATGATGAGCATTTACATTGATACAATGGAAGGGACCTGCGTTAATCAGGACTCCGCTACCGAACAGTAGGCCCTCCTACCCAATTCCAGCATTGGAGTCTGTAACAATTATTGGACAATCTGTAGCGATCAGGAATGTTGTGACGTCAATGAGGGCTCCTGCACCAATGGGGGGCCAACTGTGCCAGTCATAAGGTTTCCCCCGTGAGGGAAAGGAGCAATGTGATATGATGCATCCCTGCAAAGGCCTCCGGACCGGCCAGGGAATCCCGCCCGTGTCGCCAGAATGGCAGCCGGAAGACACCGCGCGGTGAGACGGAATGACAATGCAGGCTTCTACCGGGAACAGTAATGTGCCCCTAATGTTCTACTCAAGTGGGCCCCTTCCCGGAAAGACATATGGGGTCTCATTAGTGTTGAATACAGTGGGTCGAATGAGTTAAAAACGGACAAGGATATCCCATCGTTGCCCAAGAACGTCTATTCTTTTACAGACTCGACTAATGAAACAAATCACAGCAAAAACTTCGCACCCGCAATCTCGGGAGCAAGGACATCAATGGGCTGGGTTACAGCTTCCGTAAAACCGGACGGCGATGGCCAGTGCCAGTGACACCGGGCGGCGGGCGCCGTGTGCGCCAGAACGATTGGCGTGAAGTGATGGCTACCAAGGCCTTTTTAAATTAGGATTAGGCCGGGCGTATTTTTCTTTACAACTTTGAGGTTGTCCTCTGGACAGATTAACAGATACAGCAACACGGAAAATATAGATTTCACCTTTACTGTCCCAGCTCCACCACCAGATTTCAGTTGCACTTTGCGGTGTTGTAGAGGCCAATCCTTCCCTAACATTGATCTAAAAATCACGCATGTGTGAAATTTTCGCTCGGACTACCCTCTAAATGCGAGATTTGATATCCTACAGCTTTCAGAAATACTTCTTTCAGAAGTGTCATCATTTTCGCTTGGCCATTGACCACGGCTCAATATAACCTGCCAGACCGAAATTGCGCGGGCTAAGGAGACTGCAACGCCTGACGTCGAGATTTTGTTGCCGATATTGGCGAGCGCGCGTGGCAATAACTATGCTACATAATATGTATCCGATACTGACTTAATGCTGAGCACTTCCAGGAAAATCTGGTTTGACCACGTTACTACAAATGGTTGAACCATTTCGATCTACAATCTACATTTGCGCAGTTTTTAATATGCCTGCAAAGCCCAGATAACAATTCTAAGTTTCTGAGATCCATCGTATTAGCAAGAATCCACTGGACCTTCGTAAAGTGGAGAGCTGCGACCATTTATTTCACGCAGTCGTTTAAAGAGTTGTTTATCTTTCAATCAGTTATTTAGCGCTTTGGCGACAAACTTCAGGCAGAACTGATTTTACGCTGGCCTCTGACTTCTACTCCAGTTATGGATGGTATGCATATAAAATATCAAACAGAAACTGTCTTTGTTATGCCCCACTTTCCAGTGCCGAGGCTCTGGCCGCGCGCCTGGGCGCTATTCTTGTGAATACATAAGTGTATATACCAAACGATAAAATACTGAAGTGCACACATTTCACTTTTCAGCGTTCAAGGGAAGGGTGCAAGTACACGCTCTAATTGTCTTGTGAACCTTCACAAAACAAGTGTATTTACATGAAGATGACTGAAACTGCCAGGCTTCCATACGTGACTGTTGTTACTACGCACATGACCTTAAAGATATGTAGCAAGTTTAGTTTATATGAATAGCCATCTACATTTATGTATCATATATATATATATATATATATATATATATATATATATATATATATATATATATATATTGGCCAGAAATAGCCAGATAGAAATAGCTTCATAGCCAGAAATCTAACAACATAAATACGCTATATTAAATAAGTTTTTATACCTGTCTCTTACAGCGACTTCCAAGAATCTGGCCCACCCAATCACTGAGAAACCGACACCCATGGGAGGACTGGTTATGTTCTTGCTGGATGAGTCGGTGTGGAAATGCCCGCTACTTTTTCGCGTAGCTTAAAGTAAAAAGTGTGGATTATCCACAAATGAACGCCATTTTACGATGAAAATAGTCATGCTGTATACAAATGTTTTGCAAATTTTAAAAATACATTTGTTTCTCAGAACTTCAATGAACATTCACACCCCTCAATGTAGCCATGCTTTCGGTCTGTCGCATTGCTGTTAAAGTTTGGGCCACTGACATAGGCTTTTTTGGGCACCGCCGTTAAAAATTGCCATTGCCAGAACACCACAAACGAGAACAAGTCTATAATTTCATAACGGTGTTTCGCATCGTTGTAACTTTCGTTTAGTTACAGGTTAGTTACAGGTTTCGTTCTAGTTACTGGTGCTGACATTGATCACAACCCATTCTAAGCTCACGTGACCGCAGCTTCACATCGGATTGCAATGACATTGCAATGCGAGTGTATTACAAATAAATGGGCACATTCTTCTGCAAAATACAGTGTGTTGCTTCCTCCGCAGCAAACTATTTTTGAATCGAAGAACGTAAATAATATGGCTTCGAAACCCCGATACGCAAATTAGTGGCTCACATCTGAAGAAAAGTCAGATCTGGAGGTCAGGCTAGGTCAGTCCTGTCGGCTGAGCCCCAACCGTTTTTAAAGTGGCACCCCTGGTCATAGCAACTGCTTTGTAAATATGGACGTCCTTCATTGCTTCACGCTGGGTTGTAAAATACGGTAAATGTTGCAGACCTGCCTTGTCAGCGCAATGTAGCTTGTGCAGGCAGAGTGGAACTAGCTGAATACAAGAAAAAATATCAAACGGCGGCGTTGCCAGAACCAAGTTGCCTTCACAAGATAATGTCCAATTCCCATCGCGTTCAAGCGCATCTCGAGCCTGAAGCAATGAACCGCTATGATCAGCCCGGCATCATCTTAACTGGCATCCCGTGTCTGCGGACTGAAAGAGCAACCACCGGTCACGTTCACCTTGCACTGGCGAATCCTGGACACCGGCACGAAGGATCAGCCACACGCTCCAGTTCCCACTCGAGCGGCTAGTCGATCCGTCTCGGTATTGAGCCCGCGACCGATTAGGCCGTCTTGATCCGCATACCGCCCCACACATCCCGTAGCACGTGGCCCACCAAGGGCCGAGACCGCGTGGGAGCACACGTGCATGCCGAGGGATTAGCGGGAGGAGGATTAACACCGGGATGCGATCCGTGCCATCCTATTACACGCTAGGTTATCCAAGCGCCATCTGGACGGATCGGTGGCAGAACTGGAATGAGTGTTAACGGTACTCAGATGCCCTCAATTGAGCATCACCAGAGTCATACTGACCGTTTGCAACTATCATTGCATGGACCTATCACACTACGCGTTAGGACGCGATGAGAAACAGACCCATGGCCCTAATCCCTCCACGGCGACTAAAATGCGTCAGCAGAGCACATACGAAATAGCCATTTATTACAGCTTGATGCGGAGCGCAAGGAAGCGGTTCAAGCTTGCTTTGGCACATCAAATACATTACAATACACTGGCCTGTCCCCGCACCCTGCCGCAAACCGCGATGTCACTAATATCACTACAAGCGCCAGCGCTCCTCTGCGCGTCAGACTACATTGCCTCACAGTGACTGATCGGCCAGGGCGCCGCGAGATCCTGGTCGACTTCGGACATTTCAGCCCATCAGGCGCTTAGCTCGAACCACGCGCCGGCGCCGGCTTCCGAGACGTCGGGGCGGCGCGCTGCGTTCGCGGTAGGAAGCCATTTGCCGCGCGTTATAACTGAGCGTCGGTTAGTAACTCAACACCACGCTGCTCGGTCGAGCTCCGCCGCCGCCGCGCTTCCGACTGGCGGCTGACGGCTAAAACGGGCCGTCCGCGCGACCTCAGCGGTCGCGCAAGCGTCCGCATGTAACACGCGAGACGCGGCAGTCTGGCCTTAAGCCAGGCGAGAGGTACCGACGGCGGTCAGCGGGGGCTGGGATCCACCGAGGGCCGGATACGGCAGAGCGGCCACGGGACGAAAGCGGGCAGCACAGATAGTGGCGTCTGGGCTGGCCGGAGTCGCCACCGAAGCTCGGAGCAGGCGAGCGACCCGTTTTGTCCCACCGTGTCAGGTCAGGTCACGTGAGGGCAGGCCGTGCGGCCCAACCGCCGGCGGTACATGACGTGCTGCGGTGAGAGCCCGATGGCGGTTCGATTACCCATGCGCAACGCCCCAATCAGCAGAGGCCGTGCCACCCCGTGCCGGGCCAGCCGCGGCCTGTCGACGAGTCTGTCCACGACCCCTTGGCTCAGACCAGGTCACAGGGACCGTCACGCGTCGTACTCAATGCGCCAGCGCGTGGGCTGGTCGCAGGCGTCTCCCTCGGCCTCTCCACACAGCCGGTTAAACGTGGACTCGGCGTCGAAGCCCAGGATCTCGCGCTCCTCCTGGATCCGGAACGAGAAGGTCGACTCGTAGCTGCCGATGAAGTGCCTGCAACAGGGGCGCCGGGGTCAGTGGTGGCGGCTGGTGCCAGGCGTCACCCCGACCTCCGCCCACCGGCCGGCCGGCCGGCCACGACGTGAAGGGGTCTGTGAGGCTGGACCTCAGCTGTTGTGTCGTTACGCCGCGGACAACAGCAGACACTGCTAAACAAGACATCGACATCCAGCAGCCCGCGTCCAGCATCGTACACACCAGAGTAGCATGTACGAAATAGCTGATGATGTAAGGGTGTCTGCACGCCTCAGACAGGCTTTTATGCTTAATGCCCGACACACACACAAATTTTCAGCTCACGATCGACCGCCGCCCAGCGATTACTGATGACTATTTACTAGTGCATGCAAGTCCATCGAACCATAACAAAGCACGAAGCACGTGTAGACGATGGGGTTTCTCGTGTCCGTGAGTCTCGTGACTGTGCTCGTGCCCCGTTCGTGAGCCGTCAGCTCGTCCTCCTGAGCCGACTCGTCAGTAGCGTGCGTGAATGCGTCCAGTGATCCAATCATTCAATGGCCAATTCAATAGGCAATGCCCACAGTCCGCCATCGATCCGATCGTCCGTGGGTGTCGAAGAGTCGCGACTGAACGAGAGGCGTCGGTGCTGCTCTCCCTCTCCGTTTTTTTTTTTGTGACGCACGCAAGTAAATGCGTCATAGAGTAAAAACCAAAAGATGGCCGTCAGTGTCGCCTTATCGCAACCCGAGTGTTGCGGCAAGCTTCTTACCGAAGCGCAGGTGGAATTACGCTGTGCACCTGCAACTTATCTGTCCCTCGCCCTCGAGGTTTGCGACGGTGTGGCCAGATCCGCGACGATACTCCAGTCGAGTAAGCCTCATACTGACGTTTAAAGAGACACGGTCGTGTTTCGTGAAAGCGCGCTGAATTAAGTAAACGAGGCATGTTCATGTACTTGAATGCTCCGTGTACCAACTGGACAGACGATCAGCTTCACTGCATTTCCCCTGACGCGATCCCGCTGAAGCGTGCCCGGCGCACAACTGAGGTGAGGGGGTGCGCTTAACATCGAATTACCGCCCGATGAGACAGTCCTCCAGTTACCCACCAACGCCCAGCGAGTGCAGGACAGCCGTCGATGCGCGACGACGGGCCCCGCGCAAACTTTTGAGACCACGCCGTAATACGAGACCATGCGGGACCGATGGCTGGACCCGATACCAGCACGTGCATGCACAGCCGACGGACGTGGGGGCGGAATTGCCCCACGGAAAAGTGGCGACGAAGGGGTCGAGGATGGCGAGGGCGAGGGCGACAGATAGCGGATGGGAAGGCCGCGCAGTGATAGCAGGACGCTACGGAGGCGGCACGACGGCCAGGCCACCATCACTGACGCGTGTCTCTGCTCAAGTTCCTGCGCTTGAGAAAGTGACAGAAGCGAGGGCAAGGAGCTGGGCACATCAGTGTCTTCTGTCCAGAGCCGTCCTCTTTCCAGCCCTGCCACGAAAGGCGGGCGGCGCCAGGGCCGAGCGAAACGGTGGCAGTGCGCACCTGGCGTGGCTACAGACGATCTGGTCGACGATGGCCTCTTCGCCTGCCAGCAGGTCCTTCCGCGGCGCCGGCCGCACCACCGTGAACGGCTTCAGCAACTCCTTCAGCTGGCGCACCTCTGAAACAGCGCCAGACGACCTCAGAGCGCGACAGTGCGCCACGCAGGAGGTCCCACATCAGGTCAGCCTGACATCGCTGCCGTTCACGCTGTGCGATCGCCGACGGCAGCGCCCGGCCTCGCATTTACGCTTGTCCGGAGTAAGTCGGAACATCTTGGAAACGGAGGAGCCTTCTGTGCACTGCGCAAGCAACTTCCACAGCCGCACGGAAACTCACGGTTACTTAATGTATGAAAACTGCACAGTGGCAGGAAAGCTCACCGATTACTGTCAACTTAACCATGGTTTGTTTTATAACGTCGTTTGACACGTGCTCGAGTGGGGGTCAATTTGACCCCACCCCAACGTTTTGACAAAATAATTTTAAACGGGGCGCCGAATACTGATATGACGCTATCGGTACATGACACCCATATGGGGTTTAACCATGTTTGACCATATTTAACCCTAAGGTCAAGACCAACGAACCTCACATTTTGACACACATAAGTTTACATGTGGCCAACGCACCCTGGTAGTTTGGTGTCTATACCTCTCTTAGCTTTGAGATCGCGGGGGTGAACTGGCCCCCACCCAAGCGAAGAGTATTCAACCGGCCATCCGGGCACGTGTTGACCAGTACCTCCTGATGTATGGAAGGTCGAGAGGTCAGCGTAAGAACTGTGAACTCATACGACTAGTGTTGAATGCGACGAGCCGAAAATAGACACCACATCTAACAGGACAAAGGGTGAGCACAATAACAGCTCGTGGAAGCACCCCGCTGGGCTCAGTCGGCAACTCCCGAACCAATTACTGATGGACGGCCGCTGCGCACCCACACCGACGTCACTCCGCCGTGACCGGCTCACGCGTCGGCACCGACGGCACGGCACCGAGCCGCGTCGGCCTCACGAGTCATAACGCGAGCACGCGCCGCTCGCCGGCCGCCGGAGCCGACAAACATGCAACAGGAGTCGACGGCGCAGGGCGTCGTTCATGCCCGGCTCACGGCCAGCCACCTCCGCACACCGACTGTCGATCGACTGCGGACGCGGTGTGACACTCAAATTACAGCCGGCCACCCGACGCAGGCGGGGAGGCCCCGCCTGCCGGCCTCATCATCTCGGCGGGTTGAAATAAGCCGCGTCATCGACACGCCTTCCGACCACAAACGATGTGTGCCAAGCGACTGGCGGACGTCGATGGGTGCCAAGCGACTGGCGGACGTTGTTATTCGCTGGTCTCTGTTCAATTTCCAAGCAATACGTGTCCTCCCCGAGAAAGATAATTCCTCGCTTTGATCGTTCGTTAGAAGTCCTTGTACATAGTGCTGAAAACCCCGCCTTGTTACATCAGTATTGCCTCTTGTTTTACGCCACCCTCTGCCGCTGCAGCGGTCTCTGCCGCACCTTGCCGCTATCAGAGCCCATCCATCGCGAGGTGTCTCATCACCCAGCCACAGCCACTCCTCACTGCACTGAGCGCGCCCGCTCCGCCTGACCTGGCCTAACTCCGAGTGCATTTGCGATCCGATCTGCGGCAATTGGCGGTGCATGACCGCGCCGGGACCGGTTCGCGCCGCCTCACGAGTCACGAGCCCCACAGGCCTCAGACGGCCAGCCCCACCTCCCGACCGCCGGCGCTCTCACCGCTCCCGGTGACCCTGCCCTGGGGCCCGGCGCTCTGGGGCCCGGCGCTCCCCCGGCGTCCGGCGCTGGGGCCTCTGCCGACGCCCGGACGGCCAGCCCCCACCCCCCAGCCGCCGGCGCTCTCACCGCCCCCGGTGACCCTGCTCTGGGGCCCGGCGCTCTCCCGGCGTCCGGCGCTGGGGCCTCTGCCGGCGGCCGGACGGCCAGCACCGCCGCCGAGCCAAGAGTCAGCATTTCTGTCTCCGTATCCAAGACCCTTTTAATCCATCTGCCAATAATAATAATATTAATGATTCACTAACGCTAATAATAAGTCACAGCACGTGAGCACCTGGCGTACAGCATGACAAAATGGAAAATTTTGTATGGTGGCAATACCTGCGTGCCGGACAGCAGGACTACATCACTGAGACCGCATGCGCTTTCCAACATGCCATGGTCGTCAAAACCTTCCCTTATACGGTTCCACTAAAGCACACACTAATCTCCCCAACGCGCCATGATTTCTCCGTAGCCCGGCTCATCAACCACATGCCCTCGCCAAATGAGCGTGCGCAGATTTCGCCGAAGCGGAGCAAAACACTAATCACTCAGACTGACTAATCTAGACTAATCGCTGCTGGCCGCGCCCCTCGACGCACGGCATCGCGCCACGGTCCGGGGAGAGGATGAGCCCGCTTCTGACAGCTGTCGGGCCGCGTCCGCTGAGGACGCGAGCCGTGACCAATCCGCTCAGGCTTGCGGGGCTCCTGAATGGAGCGGTACCGGCCGGCCTCCCGTTACCAATCAAAGCTGCATGCGAATCAAACTCCGAACATTCGCTGGGAGATCAAGTGGCCACTGACACCGCCGCCGCCGGGACGGCAAATGTGGCGTGATAGCTTCTGGCCTGTGCTGGGTACGCCTCCCGCGGCGGAACAGCGCAGGAACACACGACACCCCATTAGCGTAATCAACACAGGGAGCAGCAGAAGATTCCCCGTGCTCACACGTGCGCGTTTCATATAGTCTTACAAAGTACGAGGAGTTTGTAGCTTTTGGAGCCGGAGACGGCTAGGAGGTCCAATGATCGGTGGATATGCTTTATGAGGATGAATTCCACGATAGGCACTGCATGTGCTGGACCTATGTGATGCAGTTTACATCTCTATGTTGATACATTTCGGTTTCGGGACATCTGGGACGGCACCGTATAAACCGCAATGCAGCGGCCTACCCAAAGACCACGAATGTCTAGACGTCTCATTACCTTATTGGCTGCTTGTGGTAAACTCAGCAGCAAATGGCCTTCTCTGAGCTGCTGATGAAAGAAGCGTCCGCCAAAGCCGGCCTGCTGTTGCGCCTGACCCTGCAGCTCTTTGAGGACGCCGTACAGGCCTATCCGAACGAAGTCCGTACGCTTGCATGCCCGCGCTTACGGAGCGGCGGGGCAAACTCCATCATTTCGTTACATCAGAGCGACACAGCTGCCGCGCATCTGATTCCTTCCTGGAGATTGGAACTCATTGTTTCCGAAACCACGTCATGCCCACTTACTCATCTAATATTCCTCTTCTGGACCCCCCCCCCCCCCCGTGTGCATGAATGCTCGACAAAGTGGGCTGGCTAACTGGCGCCAAGTCAGGCAATGGGGCCATGACGTCATCGTTACACTGACGGTGACGTCAGCCCCAAAAAGGCTTGGTGAACGTCAGCCTTCTTGCGGACTCCAGCGCAACCCTGAACACCTCGGAAAACGGACGCAAGAAACAACGAAAGACCACAACAAAGGCTTGGTCATCGTCACGTTTCTTGCGGATTTTACCGAAACCTTTGCAGTCCTGAAAAGGGGACACAAGAAACAACGAAAATTAGCCCGACCCACTTTCCTGAGCCCCCCCCCCCCCCATAATGATGCGCAATTACAAGATCTCGACACACCAGCTTCTTATTGGTTATCAGAAAGCCGTAATGATTGGTTAATTGACGGCTGTTGCGTGACATGATAGCCAACGCGTAACCGTGTATGCCAAGGTACACGATGATCTGAGGAAAAACATCATCTTGGCGGGATAAGTTCTTCAGGGCGCACAGCTCGTCCACGAGTCCGACCTCCGTGCGACTGTCGCGGCGGTCAAATGCTTGGAGAATATCAAGCAGAGCCTAGAAATTCTGATTGTTTTACAACGTTCACGCCCGGGAGTTTCACTGAAGCAGCCTTCAACCACCGGGCTTCGTCCCACGTAAAAATCCCGAACCTTCCCAAACTCGGTGACCTATCATGATTCAGCTGTGGCTACATTTATGATCGCATCTGATTAGCTAACCACCCCATCCCCTCCGCTCCAGCTTTGCCTTCAGCTTGCAGCCACCTGTCCCCACAGGCCCACTAACGCATACGTCCACAGGACATCGCATTTCCAGAGCGCGTGCGCACTCTAAAACAGTTGTTATAGTTCTATCACGCGTTACAGCCTCGCGCTTCTGCCGCTGTGGCAGCAATAAAAGCCTCCAGCCTCCACCCCAGTCACACCGATAAGTCGAACCCATCACCAGTCAGTCCTCATCGCTGTCCCACCAGGCCCCGAACGACCTCGTGACCTCCCAACTCGACCCCGGTGCTTCCGCGACCCCGCGACTCCCCGCCGCCGGCCGCCGGCGCGGTGCGCACCTGAGCGTGGCGCGTCCGTCGCCAGGAAGACCGTGTCGAGCCGGAGCCGGCCGAGCGCGGCCGAGATGGCGCGCGCCGCCGCCGCCAGCGACGGCACCGTGCGCGCCCGGCCCGAGACGAAGTCGCGCCGCCGCAGATGGACGGCCAGGTAGGGACCGCCGCGAGCGCTACCGGGCACCGCCTGTCCGGACCGCCAGCGGGCGCTGGTTACGGGCGGAGCGGGACCTCATTTCAAGGGGCGGCAGACGTTGAGAAGTCGATGTTGTGGGACTGGTCACGACATTTGCGCAGAGCAGCTGCAGCCTATATGGCGAGGCACTGTGATCTGACGCTACACAAAGCTTGTCTTAAGCACAATTACCTTCGTTCACGACCACAATTGATGCAGTGATGTCAGCCGGCGTGGTAAACCAGCCACATTGCAAATTCTAGCGCGGACACAGCGCATCATCCGGGCCCCATCATCCACGCACGCACGCACATGCGCACGCGCACGCGCACGCACACACCCACACCCACACGCCACCGGCCGGGGTCCGTCCCGCCGTTTACGCACCTTCATCTGCCTCCAGTCGTCAGAGTACTCTGTGCGGTCGGTGACGTCATCCGACCGGAGGAGGTCGCGCCGCAGCGCGGCCGCCTCCTCCACCAGGTGGCGCGCGAAGCGCATGCTGCGCCGCACCGCCCAGAAGTCGGCGCAGCCGTAGTGGCGGTGCAGCACGGCCTCGGCCCGGTCCACCAGCACGGACCTGCCGGGGGCGGCCGTTGAGGGCGGCTGGTCCCGGCGTTAAGATACGAGTGGACGGTCGCCGGTTCGATTCTCATGAGAGGGAATTTTCGCCCAACAGTTGCCCCATCAGGAGTGGACAGGCAGGCAGAAATCAGCGGTGTTGTAACGCACATCTGCGAATGGCATAGTGAGGTCTAGGCCCTCACTGTATGCACGGTTCCGAATCTCAATGACCAGGACGTTCAGTTAACACCAACAAGGTCGCACAAGCTTTAACACGCGCCCGGGTGGCCGGCTAGATATCCTTCGCCCTTCGCTCGGGTGGGGGGGGGGGGGGGGTTAAAGTCTTTTTTTGCATTTGAATAAGGGACAAAGATTACTCTTGGCAGTATGTTCTTTAAAAAACTATCGACCTGGGTCATCCTAAGTCAATGACCTATTATGACCTATAAAAAGTCAATTGAGGATGTATGATGCAGTTTCTGCTATCAATAAATTCAAAATGAGCACCAGAAAATATCCCATACAGCAAGCCCTACAGCAATAAAACACGTTGGTTTTGACCTTGATCTGACCTTCATACCTGACCTTAAGTCAACTTAATTTGCTTAATCAATACTTGTGTTGCCTAACAATGCATCTCAAAGATGTATAATTTCGTCAAACTCTCCGTTGTTGCATCAGACTGAACGATTCCCTAGAAATTGACTTTGCTGACACCATGGCCTGACTTTGACCTGCCATAGGTCAGTGACCTTACAAGGCACACCCTAAATTTATTACACCACGCGATCTGCTATTCAATTGTGAACAGTTATGCAACATTTGGCGCGGCTGCGCCACACCGTTCGGAAACCATTCTGAAAAAACCGTCGGGGAGGCGGGCAATTTGATACCTACCAGAGCGCGTGTTAAACGCTCAGATGAACCACGCTACCAAAGAGCTTCCATTCTGAGCTCACACAAGTCAAGTCCAGGGTCGCCCGGCGAGCAGCCGGCCTGAATGGTCAACAGAAACGAGACATTAGGCTGTTGGTGGCGTGACCCACCACCAGGCAGAGCTGACCTCAACATGACATAACCTGAGCATCATGCAACAGGTCGGAAAACCTGTGACCGCGCGCAAACCCGGTCCTAAATGGCGGCGACCTGGCGGGACGGATCGCGCCGCGAGGTAACCGCACCTGTGTGGCATGCTGCCCACCATGTCCGCCAGAGTCTCCGAGGTGCCCTGTATTGACACGCAGCTGAAGTTGGCTACGCGAAGGGTCACTTCACCCCACATGAGGGCCTCGTGGTCTTCCCCTGACCGCCTGGAAAAGACCAGCACACCAGGATCCAGCTTTATGCCAGCCCAATGCGTGGAACAGCTGCGGTCGAACATTCGCTGAAGCCGCATGCTATCAAGAACTCCCCATGCTTGTGATACTGATCACGCAACGTACCACGAACGCTGAAGCCGTAATGATCTTCGGAAAGCTTATATTTCTACACACGCGTGCCCAGCTCCTCAAAGTTCAATCCGCCACGTGCTCACACCGCACCCATCCTCGCGCCGACTGTAGTAGCCGTCGGCGCTCGGCGAGAGCGCCGCGCTGACAGTGTCAGCGCGTGACCGTTCCCGGCGCCGCGCAGCAGCGACAGGTCTGCCCAAGACGGCGGCGACGGGGCCAGACGGCGCGGTGGCACTACCTAAATCTTGCCTTGTGCAGGCACGGTCTGCGGTCCCACTTCTCGTCGAACTGGCCGTCGCGCCAGCCCTCGGCGTAGTCCTGCAGCTGGAGAGCGCTCTCCACCCGCGCGCCGCTCTCTGGAACGGCACGACGCGCTCATCACGGGCGCCGCCGCCGGCAGCCACCCCCCCCCCCGCCGTGCTCCGCCGCGTGCGAGGCGTCGCCGGGCGTCCAGGACGGCAGACGAGCCCGAGGTTTGAACACAAGACAACACAGACAGCACGTACGCACGTGCGCACGCATACATGAGAGCACGCGCGCACGCACGTGCACCTTGGCGGCGTGAACGTACCAGTCATGACAACACTTGTGAGGTAATATGGACATATGGACATATATACCTCAGGCCAACAAAGAGCCGCAAGGACCCATCGAGGTCTTTGGCCTACCCCAGCCTACCTACCCCAGGTTCTGCCCCCATCCTTGACTCTAATCTTACTAACTGAACTACCTGAATTTAGAATAAATGAGACCCTCAGAACGATAGAAATTGTCCAAACGATTTTTAGATGTTGCCAAGGAGGGACTTTCTCTAGAACTTCATTTGGCAGTTCATCCAATGACTCACTACTCTTTGACTAAATGACATCTGCCTCTTCATAGTTCAACTCCTACCTTTTGCTAACTGAAACTGGTTTTCTCTGAGTCTCGGCCTAATTTCCAGTGCTCCTTGTAGATCTAGCTTGTCTATCCCTCATATAATCTTGAGTCCCTCTTTCAGATCCCTCTGGGTCTACACTATTTCAGTGAATACAAGTTCATAGCCTATCCTTATATTCTAAGTTGCCAATCCAACTTATCACCCCAGCTGCTTTTCTCTGTACTCTATCCAGTCTATCCATAACTTTTTGGAAGCATGGGGATCTTGCTTTTCTCTGCGCTCTATCCAGCCTATCCATAACTTTTTGGAAGTATGGGGGCCAAGTCTGTAGACAATACTCCCGGTGTGGTCCAGCAGACGCTAAGGACAACTAGATGACAACATTCCTACTTTTGTAACGGACATTCCTGTTCATAAGTCTCAGCATGGGAAGTGCTTTGCTCCTAGCAGCCCCATACTGCTTTTCAGCCTTTAAATCCCTGAAAATTATAACTCCTCTGTCCTTCTCATCTTCGATCCGGTCTGACTCTCTCCTGCCATTTTATGGCTAATGCCCTCACTGCCAGAACTACCCATATTCATCACCTTACACGTATCGTAATTTAATGACATCTGCCCCAGAGATGCCCAGTTCACTAGCTTCTCTAAGTCAAGTTTCACCTGGTCTGCGTTTTTCGACACCCTTATCAATTTAATGTCGTCAGCAAATTTAACCACCTTACTGTCTTATCCTACCTTAATATAATTCACAAAAATAACAAAGAACAAAGGACCCAGCACCGACCCCTGCGGAGCCTCCACTCTCTACTAGCTCCCACTCAGATTTAGTACCATTGGGCGTAGTACCATTGTTTCCTGTCTTGCAGCCAAGCCCCCCCCCCCCCCCCCCTCAGCCATGAATTTTTCCCTCAATACCATGCATTTTCAACTGATATTAGAGATGCTGGTGTGGCACCTTATCAAACGCTTTACTAAATATTAGATAAATAACATCTTAACCATCATCTTTACCTACCTGACTAGTAACATACTCCATGAACTCCAGACGATTTGACAAGCAGGGCCTACAGGAGAAAGCTATGCTGAAATACTATTGATCAACTGATGCCTATCTGAGTGTAACTGACTGCTAGCCTTAATTAATTTCTCTATGATCTTACACACTAGTGAGGTAAGACTGACAGACCTGTAGTTGCTGACACTCTTTTTGGTACCCTTTTAACACGCCCTTGGGTGGGGCGAGGGGTCAAATTGACCCCGCGAAGGTTTTCCCCAATGGTTTCTGAACGGCGACGCATAGCCCCGCCAAATTTTGCAGAGTTGTACACAACTGAATAGCAGATTGTTTGACATGCACAATTTAGATGTAATTTGTAAGGTTGCTGACCTATGGCAGGTCAAAGTCAGGCTATGGTCTCAGCGAAGTCCATTTCTAGGGAATCGTTCAATCTGATGCAACAACGAAGTGTTATACGAAGCCATACATATCTGAGATGCTTTCTTAGGCAACCAAAATATTGAATGAGCAAATTACGTTGACCTAAGGTCAGGTATGAAGGCCAGACCAAGGTCATAACCAACCTGCTTTATTACTCTAGCGCATGTTGTTTGGGATAGTTTCTGGTACGCATTTTGAATTTATTGATAGCAGGACACGCATTATACATCTCCCATGGTTGCTTCATGGATACTTCTTAGTGGTCAGAATAGGTCATTGACAAAAAATAACCCAGGTTAACATTATTTTTAAGAAACATACTGCCTAGCGTAATCTTTGTCGCTTATTCAAATGCAAACTCAGAACAGTCTCCTATAATTTTGGTCACCATGACTTTCAAAAGGCCAAAAAAGGTCACTGACTAGATGAACATGTCACCTTTTGCTTAGAAACAGTTATCTAGGTTCTGGGGGCACTTTCAAGACCAACCTGGAATTTGACCTTGTTTGACCTTGTTTGACCCGAAGGTCGTGATCCAGGAACCTCAGAATTTGACCTAAATGAGTTCACGTACAGGTCAACACACCCTGCAAATTTGGTGTACCTAGCTTTGTTAGCTCCCGAGATCTCAGGGGGTCAAATTGACCCCCTCCCACCCGAGCGAAGAGTATCTTGCCGGCCACCCGGGCGCGCGTTAAATACCGGTGCTATATTGGTATTGCGCCAGCCCTCAGGTACTTCTGAAAAACTCAATGACCTGTCAAATATTAGCATAAGCGGATAAGCTAAAACACACGCGCACCCATTAAACACTCTACCATATATCTGGTCAGGCCTGGCTGTCTTATCAACCTTGATTTCCATCAAGCTCTCCCTTGCCAAACCCCCGGTCACCGTCAAAACAAGGTTTCCCTTACGTCAAATTTTGTCCACTACCAGGGACATCACACACGAACTCCTTCGCAAAAACTTAAGAAAACTGCCTGCTACGAGCATCTGCAATATCCTAGTTCTTCACTTACAGCTTTCCATCTTCCTCGAGGGTACCGACGGAGGCTCCGTTGGACTTGAACTTATAGTAGCCAAAACAATTCTTAAAATCACCAGAGCAAATGCCCGCTAGCTTCATTTATCATGATTATTTTGCTTTCCTGAATTCCTTCGTTAGCTTTTTTGATGGCGATCCTATACGCCGCCTTGCTGCTTTCTGTGCTCTGCACTTTTTGCCCATGATATGTCGCTTTGTTCACTGCCTTCAAATTGCGCATTGTTCGTGTAAGCTATAGGGGCTTCCTTGAGCTATTTTCTCACATTTTGCTACAAGGAATGAACCTTTCCTCTCCTTCTTCTATCATATCCTTGAACATTTCCCACATATGACGGGCAGTGAGTACAGTTAGATAACCATCCCGTTCGAAGCTAGCAAGAAAGACTGTAAGTTCTTCAAATTCCCCCCTAGCAAAATCTGGAATAAGAGTATGATTGGGTTTGCCTAAATAATCTAGATGCAGCAAAACCATACAATATTATGGCCACTAGTTCTCAGCGTCTCGCCTAGTGTTAACTCATCTACCAACCATTCCTCATTACTAATAACAAGATCCAGAATTTCCTCTCCCCTTGTGGGTTCCCGCACCAACTGCTGAAGAAAATTCTCTTCAAAGCATGCAAAAATGTTATTGTAACTATTTCACAATTGGCCACGATCTACGCTTCAGCTTGTGATGTTGAAATATCCCTGCACCACACACTTCCCCTAACACCTCGGCCGATTTCTTCACATATCTATGTCCACATCCTGACAACTACTTGGAGGCCAAAAGGAAGTCCCAGCACGTAATTTGTTGCCCTCCGGCATTATCAAATCAATCCAAAAGGATTCTACAGTATCGCTTTATTCATGCCTTCTGCGATGTCACATTTTATATTCTGCCTTACATAGATAAGCACTCCACCCCCTTTTTCGCTTCCCTACGAAAAGTAAACGTGTCGCAACCAGATACTTCAAATTCCTGTTACCTGTCCTCAAAAAGGTACTCAATGATCCAAAATTCAGCGATAGCTACCCGGTTTAAGTTTTCTTCCAGCATGTGAGCATGAAGCTCGACAAGCTTGTTCTTGATACTTCTTGCATTTGCATAGAAGCACCTGTTTTCCTACATCTCGTTTTGGCTCACTCTTCCGTAACTTCGAATGACCATTCTTTTTGTCTTCTATGTTCACCCTTCCATCCCTATAAGCTAGTTTCCCTGAAGAACATCTTCATATACCCTTCTCAGGACTTGCACACTTTTCTCAGAGAAATAGAGTCCACGCCTCTGATGCAGGTATCTACAGTTGAAAAAACTGCCCCACACATCTACACACGTCAGGCCAGGCTTACCACACAGTTTATCTTCTCCAGAGTTGGCCGCCAGCGCCCTGGAACTCCACTCAGGAGGTACTCCGATCCCAGGCAAAATGCTTGTTACTATCTTCCTACTTTCGCTTTGCTGTTGAGTGACCAAAAGAGTGCTAAAATCCTTCATCACTTCCTTGCTCTTCTCCTGCCCTATATTGCATACTCCTACCTACAAAACAACTGCACTGGCCTGGCTTTTGCCGCTAACCTGCGCTACCATTGGCACTAGATCCTTGACCTTGGCTCCAGGCTTCGTTAAACATCTCCTTCCTTTCCTGCCCTTACAGAACACCATATTTAATAGTGACGACCCCCTATGCTCCTGCCGGAATCATTATCGTGCAGCTGAACCAGCGAGGCCTCAGGCGGTATGACTTAGAAATAACAGAACAGAAGATCACCAAATATTTACTGGCTGTTGAGAATTTGCCGATAGCACCACCAGACCATGCCAAAAACAGCGACGAAAACACAAAAATAGGAACACTGCAAACAGACAAAACTGCCCACAATGCAGAACGGCATTCCACTCACCTTTCCTATATTGGTCGAACTCCATGACGGGCACGTATTTGTCCAGGCTATCCAGGTCGAAGAAGCGGCTCCAAGGCACGCCCACGCTGTGTTGACCGCGCGTCACCTGCCAGTGGTACAACGGGCCCCACGGTGGCAAGACCTGCCAGGTCACAGGAGCCGGTCAGGCACGGCAGCCAGGTCACACCGGAATGGCGCATCGAATGCGAGGACGCCACGCCAGTCATACCACACGGAAACGGTTTAACGAATCTGGACAGCTGGATCAATGATCAATGCCAAAAATGAATATGGCATCAAGTATGGACGACAAATCCACGCCTGGCCATTTTACTGTGGATACTTGATGCCCAAGCAGCACAAAGCGACAGACGAGGAGCAGCAAACTAGGTCTGCCACAAACACACACATGTCGACCGATTCCTCTGAGTCTTTCACACGAACTGACCACTGAACCCATTTCCGGAATGTCTACATGCAGCGACGGCCATGATCTGCTGCTCAGAGCCGCTCCTGCGACTCGTTCCCCGTCGAAAGGGCACGGCGGCGGCACCTGCCACAGCCCGTGCCGTCCCCGGACGCACCAGAGTCCAGCGGCCGCGACCGCTGAGCCGCGCGACCGCGCTCGCCACGCGCATGTAGACGTCCCGGCGCAGGTTGAAGCCCTCGCCGGGGTTGACGTCGTACAGCAGGTACCTGCGGCGCACGGGGGCCGACGTGACCGGCCAGACCGACGCGCGCACCGTCTGGGCGTCGGGCTGTGGCGACACGGGTGTCCTTCTGTGCAGGTCGGCATGCGGCGGCAGCGCGGTTCATGTGGCTCATTACAAAATGAGAGCGAGCTGAAAAACTAGCGAAGCAATGCTGTTTCAAGCATGAGATATTGGGATCGAGAAATGTTTATAGCTGTTGAATACGTCTCCTCTATGCATGCCTTGTGCCTGGTAACGCATCGAATCCGGACGAAAGTGCCGCTTTTAACGCCGCGACAGACACGAATCGTCCCTCGCGCAGCACCAGCCACACTCACCGGCGTCTGCTGGCTATGCTCACCAGCAGCTCACTGATGCTCACACAGCCAGCCAATGTGTAAGCGACCACGACCCCAATCCACGCTGCTGCCAGTCACACCCCATACCATTTCTGCGTTCATCGTCCGCGGCTGCACATCTCAGGAGACCCCTTCCTGGAGTGCCCACACATGACATCTGCTACGCACATTCAGGCCAACCTGCCAAGGTGGCAGCACTCCATACATTCAAAATACACCCAGAGGGAAGGAGAAAGTGGTGAGGGTGGCTGCTGCAACCAAGTCATTGAATGACCAATGACAGACCTGACCTAGCCCAATTATTCACAGAAATGTGTTTGGCCACAAGCATACAACAGCTCATGCCTTCAACAAAATGTATTGAGGCCCATTAGTTTTTGGATGTGCTGGCCCATACAGACTTTTGAAACCATCTCATCAGATCAAAATTACTCCACAAGACCAGGCCATTGACTTGTGGGTAGACTACCTACTCACATATATTTCAATCTGTAATACATGTAACAAACCACTTACCGACCTGTCATAGACTGAAGATGTGGTTTCATCACAAGAGCCATCCTTAAAGCAGGCTTGCTCACTGCTGCAGCATTGCAGAGCCAGCAAGAAGACCATGGTGTAAGCCTGGATCAATGACAGGGCATCACAACTCAGCCATGCTTCCAGGTTGCTGAATAGGGGCAGCAGGAAATTGTTTTACAATAGACCTTCAGAGGCACAAACAGTGCAGCATTCCCATGTACAACGATATCAATCATGGATATGTGAAAATCAAAGCATCATCTTGCATCTGTTGACTTGAATTGCATTTCCTCTGATTATAAGAAAAAGGAAACCACGCATCGGAGCCACCATATATCACACAAAACGTGCCTCAAAGTTTTCTGGCACAGGTGATAATCACCAGTTATGTGCCAGTGATGGGCAACACATTGTATTTTCATAATACTTTTGGATCCAGCACCACTTCTGCAAAATTAACAGTTGAAGTGATTGGAACAGCATTAAAATGATATCATCAACCCACATACAACCCCCTTGAGCTCAAGCAAGTTTGAGCTCATTGTTATTGGTAAAAGCTGGTAAAACTGGAAAATGATGCAAGCCAGTTTCAGGCAGCTTAAATCCACCAAAACTTTCATGAGTTGCATATGTTTCAGATGCACAAACAGTAGACCTGCCTTCATGAGATATCACTCAAGCCATCTCAGGAATCAGCAAACTGAAACCAGCTTAGTGTGCAATAAGTGACAACCCAAGTGCGTTTAGTGACCAGGGTTTCCCCAAACACAGCTAACACTATCAATTCTTGCCTGCATCCACCTGCACTGAACAAAAATAGACTTACCCAAAACTGCAGCATGTTTATTGTACAACTCAGTCAAGATCTCCTGCTTGAGAATATAACACGAGATGACTAAGCCACATTGCTGGAACTACATAAGTGCACTAACTGCCCCGCACAACATTTTCGAATGCGGTACAACAAACCACAGTCTCTAGATTTGGTCCGGTACGTTAACTGCATGCTAAACATATATCTTGAAAAATATTGCTAAACCCACATCCCAAACAACAGCCCTGATCGTGTGGATGCCTATTGAAACCGCGGCGATTTTACCGTCTTAGTTGCGCCAATTCATCTACTTTTTGGCTTGTAAAGAGCCGCTAAATTACGTTAAGCGTTTTCGCCCGTGTTCTAAGGCTGCAGTAAGCAAATATTTTCGCCTGTCACCTACCAAAACAATAGCAGCATTTTTTTGGCAGGACTTTCAGCACACATATTTGGTACGAAAAGTGCAAATATAGAAAGAAAGGAAACCATAAGCACAAAAACCGCGCAAAGACAGACTGTGATTGCGAGGTGGTGTGTCCGAGGTGAAACAAGGTGTGTAGAAGTAGAATTCATCTCAAAAATGTTTTTCAAACTGCATGTAGTCTGCAGTTAACGCACCTGACCAAATCCAATCGCAAAGGAGCAATATTCCGTTTCAGCTGCGTTCGATAGAACAACCAGTCCGGCAGTGCAACGAATATGTCTTCATGCAGCTCCGAATCTGAAGCTCACTTAATCTTGCGCTGAGCTAGCCTGACTGTCCGTGCTGCGTGGGTCGTTCGTCGTTCGTCGGCCATCTGATTTTTCAGCGTTTGCGCAACGCTGGCTTACAGCGCGCCGACAGCACTCCTCGCGGCCGCAGCGACAAAAAGATGGCGCTGCGGGCGCTGTGGTGAGTCCGCCAGTAACCGGTGCCATCTCATGTAAGCACGCAGTCGTGATAGGCCTGGATCAGGCCGAGCAGATCTCTAGATGCCTCGCAGTCTTGCTCCAACACTGCCATCAGCTGGCTCATAGACAGGCCCTCTGTGCGCAGACGAGTGGGGGTCGGTGATGGCCGTGCCATAGCCAGTCGCTGCGTTTCCGTCCCAGGAGTTACGTTAAAAACGCGCTCGGGCGGGGGTTAAATTACCCCTCCCCCCCCCCGAAAGCTTTTAGGAATGGTTTCCGAGGGGCGCGGCGTAACCGCGCCGAACTTTGCATAGCCGTAGACAGTTGAATAACGGATCGTGTGGTATCAAAAACTTAGATGCACGTAGTAATGTCGCTGACTTACGGCAGGTCAGTCAGGCCATGGATTCATCGAGGTCAATTTCTAAGGAATCGCTCAATCTGACGAAATAGCGGGGTGTTAAGCAAAGTCATACATCTCTGAGATATTTTCTTAGGCAGCACCACAATTGAATGACCGAATTCCATTAACCTAGGGCGAGGTATGAAGGTCAGACCAAGGTCAAACCAACCTGTTTTATTATTCTGGGGCTTGCTGCATGAGGTAGTTCCTGGTGCTTGAGTGCTTGGGTAGTTCCTGGTGCTTGATTCGAATTTATTGATACCAAGAACCGTCCGTGGACTTCTTAAAGGTCAGAATAGATCACTGACCTAAAATGACTGAGGCCGACGTTTCGTTTTTAGGGACATACTGCCTAGCGTAATCTCTGTCGCTTATTTGAGTGCAAATCTCAATGCAATCTCGTATGATTCTGGTCGCCATTTCGCCATGACCTTCAGAAGGTCGAAGAACGTCACTGACCTTAAATGAACATGTAAACTTATGCTTAGAACAGGTATCCAGGTTCTGGGGACACTGGAGACCAATTTGGAGTGTGATCTTGTTTGACCTTATTTGACCAGAAGGTCATGGCCAATCATTCTCAAAATTGGACCCAAGTGAGCTCACGCATAGGCCAACACACACTGTAAATTTGGTTCCAGCCTTCTCAGTTCCTGAGATCTCAGCGGGGCCTGTTTGACCGCCGAGCGAAGGGTATCTATCCGGCCACCCGGGCGCGTGTAAGCGGTGTGACACTAGTAGGTCCGACGTGGCGGTGCGACAATTTAATGGAGTGTAGGAGCGTCTGTGAGGCTAATCGTTGCGTTTAAGCATGTGACAGCAGGCTGTCCATCTCCCGTCTTGTGCCTGAAGTCATTAATAGTCTGTGCTGAATGGTTTCGTGACCTTTTATAGACATTTGATCATTAGCAGGAGCGCAGTTTTACAAAACGAGTTGAAAGGGGCGGGGAGGCTGAGCAGTGAAGAATGACACAACATGCCTAAAAGACATGCCAGCAAACGGGTTTGGCCCATTTTGCCCTCAAATTGGTGAGGGTTAAGGTATCCCAACGAAGTGGGAAACTACGGGCCATTGGTGTGTTTGAAATTATCGTTTGACATTTTCATATTAAAAAGACTGTGATATGTGTACCATTGCGTTTACAAACGTATTGCTCTACATTGCAGACTTTTAAGCTTTTGGACAATACTTGTTTTTACAGGCAGTGTTCATCTGCTTAGTAAATAGTCTCTATGACAGCGTCCTAAACACGAACACACTTCTTCATACTTAATAACAGCACACACCTACTACGGCTGCTAGCGTCTTGTAAATGGCGTGCGTAGCCACTGAGTGCAGGGACAGACGCTTGTATTCTTAGTTCCCAGACCACACTGATTGTGTGAAAGACACCAGTGGAAATATCCACCTACTGTCAACGATACTTGGCAGATAGTGCGTACGTCGCCTATTTTGGTATCCTTACTTGCACTTTTACAGCTGACTTATCAATTGATATTGACATACATGTAATATATATATATATATATATATATATATATATATATATATATATATAAGCATTTTGGTAGCAGGTTTTCGAGCATGCATTTTGATTTAAACCAGGGCCAACTCAGTGTTTTTAATCTAATTGGTTGTCCGAGGCTTCGTATCTCACACTTGTCGCTCCCAGGGAGTCGACATATAATATTTTTAAATTTCTTCAAGCTGCCGACGCTTCGATCATCAATGAGCATGTTCTAAACGGAATGGTACATGTTAAAAGATGCAGTCATGCACAGTAAATGTAATAAATTCAGTTTGCGTCGTAGAAGCATGTAAACGCCATTTTTCTCAAATGCTTCGAGCGTGTGTTTCGCAGAAATTCAAAGGCAACCGAACTTTTGTATGCCTTTTTGTAAGACTGCGTGTTTATGGTATAACATTCCGGCAAAAGATGTTCATCCCATTGATCGCAACGTCGACAAATTTATGACCGTTCAAAATATTCTGTATCGATACACTGAAAATGACAAGCATAACATACAACGCCTCGAAAAAACAACCAAGAGGGACGTACAAGCTGAGTTTTCTGTTGTATACAACAAAAAATGCATACACACACACACACACACACACACACACACATATATATATATATATATATATATATATATATATATATATATATATATATACATATGCATATATACATATATCTCTTATATCAAGTGGCGACGCGTTCCGCACCCAGCGGTTGCATCGGCAAGGAAAAAAACACACGTAGGGGAGAGTAAGGGAAGTTATATCATGTTCAAGTAGTGTCAAGTTGATTTATTTTAAATTCATGCGATGGATGACTGTTTCCATTCACTCAGCTGACGCATAGCAGTTCCTTCTACCTTTTTGTGTACTTTTGGCCGCATACGTGTACGTGTCTTGGGATAGGTTCAACAAACATCCGTTTTGCGTATCGTTGAAAAATGTAACGATTGGCGTAAACGTGTGTTTAAGGGCTTACAACATAACTAGACCAATCTGAACGTTATGCTGGGTGGTAGGGAAGTACACCTGTCGTGTATACTGCAAAACGTTTGGCTTCTGCTTGCCAGGGACTTCGGGTGGCGCGAGCTCTTTCTAAGATGTCGGATGGTACAAGTTGCATCAGCTGTGTATGGGGCATGCTATATCAGGGATACAATGTGCCGATAATCAGTTATTGAGTGACCTTCTGTCAATGATTGATTAAGGCGGCTGTCATGACTAACTGCCATCCAGAAAACAAGTTAGCGTATACATGACCTATGTAAATACATGCTGTCTAGCTGAATGACCGAAATCGAGATGACAAACGTCGCAAAAACAAACGGGACTGATAAAAATGAATTTGTCATTCACGACCACGAAGAATTACGAATAAGTACAAACAAAGCGCATTTGGTCTACATATAAGACATGCAGCCTGCTTGCGACGCTTCTTGCTCTATGACAACAAAATCATAATCCCAACTTCTCCCACAATGTGATGCAATTTACCTCAGAATGGGGTAAGTTGTCTCATTTAAATGGAGGTCATTTATAGGTCAGTTACCAAATCAATGGAGATGTCCTGTCGAAACTTTACCGGTACATATAAAGCTGAAGACTATAACGGTCTGCAGATATAGTCATCTTAATCATATCCTAATTGGTTATAGCGGGAGGGAGCTCAGAGCAAACCTCGATTCGACTCGCCCTGCTGCTTCTCCTACAGTGTACTTCATGATGCTTTAGCACGCACACGACACAAGCAGAATGAAAATGCGACACAAGCACATGCGCATGACACATGACTTTCCCCGATATCCACAGCTATATTTCATGTTGTTACAGGTTCCAACGAATATGATGAAGTCGTGCTATTTTATGTTTAGCAGTGAAACTTTTTAAAATGTCTGCAGACTCTATTTAGTTCCTTAATCAAGCGCAGAATATGATCTGCCCTTGCGCATACCAAATTTTGAGGCCAAAACTGGAGTGTCACCTATAAATGAATGGTCTCCTGAAGGAGGAGTCATGTTTTGCAAGGCATCTTCCCTTCAGGATATCCTCATATTTGCCATATGACTACTTTTCTGTCGTAAATGTAATCATTGGATGATCAAGCAAGTTTAAGACATCGAGGAATAAGGCAGCATGAGCCTTATACTTAAAAAGAAGAGAACAATCGCCGACAAACCTACGATACAAAAGACACAGAATTCAGCTAGACAAGAACTAAGCCAGGGCTTCTCATTAAGACGCACACAAATATTACCGAACCCTGGACTCAAAAGCAGACAATACCAACCCCTTCTTTCTGTAAAAATGTGCCACTAGAAGAGAACTGAAGCATTTGATGATTATTTCCACCATTTCAGTAGCCGTCGAAAGCAAGACCCATAAAAATGTCGATGGTGTCTTTCAAGGGAATGCTCATGAATAAAC